TGAGTTATCCTGAAGTGACTAAACCTTCCACTCACAAAGGAAATGGGAACACACAAGTTTGAATTAAGTCAAAGAAATAATAATAGTTCTATTTCTACACATCTGAATATTAATGTGCAACATTTTATTTTTTTTTAAAGATTTTTTTTTATTTATTTATACAAGAACCAGGGTACAGGCCAGATACACGGGACCAGAGACAGAGCAGAGAACAGAACAGGCAGACTGATGAAATACACTGCTGAGGGGAGCAGCGGGCACGACAGGAGAGGTCTGCTGCACCATGTGGGACCCTCGCCAGCCAGCCGGGATTGAACCTGCGCTGCTGAGACTGCAGACAGCATCACAGCACTGCGCTCAACCGCCTGCCTGCGCCACCAGGGGAGGCCCTAATGTGCAACATTTTAAAAAACATTTTCATGCCAATGTAATTTCTGTGGTTACACAGATCCCACAGGATATGGAATTTTTGTCCTCTTGATGCATACCACCATCTGCATATACACTGGACTACAATCCACAGTTATGGGGACAAGGCTAAAACTATTGTGTATATGTCAGGAAAGTCTACATGGCTTGGCATTTCAAAGTTCCAGAGGAAAGCAAGGACTCTGAAAATCAAGCATTCAAAATATATCACTTCATTTAACACTTAGTTTGCAAGCAATCTCTTCTCTGAGTATTCTTGAAAGAAAAAAAAAAAAAGATTGGCAGCTCAGTCTGCATTTGTATCTATGGAAACACAATGACAGAATAGGGAAATGAGAAAGATATTCCTTCAAGGCTGCTCAGACATGATATAAAATTACCAAAAGTTTGATTTTAAAGTTCTAATTTCAGGTTGGATAGACTGATTGCATCTCTAACTGAAGGCAGTTATAAAACCTGGACAGAGCACATGCAGCAGCTATTTAAGGACTGCGCAAAGTAAATAATAGTAGACAGATTAAAAAAAGAAAATGAGAATTCAAAGAACAATTAATTTGGTATTGAGTTCACCATGTTTTTCCCTCTGGTATCCCCTGGAAAGAGATTTATCAAAACGGCCATCCTACCCAAAGCAATATGATGGTTCAATGTAATCACAATAAAAATATCAATGGCATTCTTCAAAGAATTGGAACAAACTTTTCTAAAATTCATATGGAACCACAACAGACCCCAAATGGCCAAAGCAATCCTGACCAAAAAAATAAAAAAAGAATGGAGGTATCACACTTCTAGTCATCTAACTATACTATAAAAACATATTAAAACAGTCTGGTATTGTAACAAAAACAGACACACAAATTAATGTAATAGAATTGAGAACCCAGAAATAAACCCACACCAATATGGACAGTTAATCAATGAAAAGTCACCAAGAATATATATTGGAACAAGGAAAGTCTCTTCAATAAATTGTGTTGGGAAAACTGGGCAGCCACGTGCAAAATGATAAAACCAGACCACTATCTCATACTATACACATAAATCAACTCAACATGAATGAAAGACTTGGATATAATACCTGAAACCATAAATATATAGAAGAAAATATAGACAAAACATAGGCTTGAGTGATATCTTTAGGGATTCATCTCCAACAAAAAAGAACATAAACAATTGGAATTACATTAAACTAAAAAGCTTCCACACAGCAAAAGAAACCATAACTAAAATGAAAAAACAACCTACTGAATGGGAGAAAATATTTGTACACCATACATCTGCCAAGGGGAAATAATCCATGCAAAAAAAGACAAAAGAGCTAAACAGGCACTTCTGCAAAGAAGACATAAATGGCAAACAGGCACATGAAAAAATGTCACTTAACATCAGGGAAATGCAAATCAAGACTACAATGAGATAACCCCTCACACCTGTGAGGATGGCCTGTATGGAAAAGACCAGAAACAACAAACGCTGGTGAGGATGTGCAGAAAGGGAACCTTCCTACACTGCCGGTGGGAGTGCAAACTGGTCCAGCCTCTATGAGAAGAAGTATGGAGGTGTCTCAAAAGATTAAAAATGGGTCTTCCACATGACCAGTAACTCTACTCCTAGTCAGCTACCTGAAAAATTCAAAAACACTAATTCAAAAGGAAACCTGCGCTCCCATATTTATTGCAGCCATCTGAACCAACAATCCTGCTCACTAGCATCTATCCACAGAATACTAAAACAATAATACAATGGGATATATGCATGCCTATATTCAGGGTAGCACTGTTTACAATAGCCAAACTATGGAAACAAGTGCCCAAAATAGTGCCCCAAAATAGATGAGTAGATGAACAAGATGTGGTACATATACAGAACGGAATATTACTCAGCAACCAAAAAAAACCTCACGCTATTTGTGGCGACATGGATGGAGCTGGAAAGGATAATGGTAAGTGAAATTAGTCAGAAGGAGAAAGATAAATACTGGACGGTGTCACTTGTATGTGGAATATAGAGAAACCAAACTAAGGGTCAGATGCAGATAAGCTTAAATACTAACCCTTGAAAGCTGACTATTGAACTGAAGCATAAGAGGGGAGGGGGTGAGAACAAAGAAGAAAGGAAGCACAATGGATTCTGGTGGTGAACTATGGGTGATTTGGTGGCTGGTACCCTACAGTGGCAATACCTGATGAGGAGGATCCTACTGTTACCTCGATTAGAGAATAAATTAAAAAATACAAAGCATAAAAAAATAAATTCACGGATGAGTCCCAGGAGTTGGATCCACTTTCTCTGGGTTAATATATAGGCATGAGTTTAAAAGTTTTTCTAATTTATGATAAAATATTTCTGGGATATATCTATTAGAACACAGAAATTGGTGATACTCAAAGATACATAAACAATAACACTAAAACCAGGTTTGTGATCTTGAGAAAATTACTATTTTGTTCAATAAAGTCCTTAACAATCCAACAGAGGACTGGGTGAAAGGTATGAGCCTTGCCAGTTCCTAGACCAGTGATTTGTGCTGTCTGGTTTAGTAATTTAATTTTACACAATCTTTTTTCCAGATTCAGATTCCATTCGTTGTTAATTAAAATTGGCCAGTAGTCAAATGTCAATCTTTGAATCATTTTTATAAAACATTTAAATTTTCAGTTGGTTGTTCAGATTTACTCATTATAAAGACAAAGCTCTTCAGCAGCAAATTTTGTACAGATTTTTTTTTTCTGTGTGAGATAATGTAACATTAAAGATAATTTTATATTTCAAAAATTTGTGTGTTCTAAGAATACTTCATGACATTTAAGAAGCAAAGTCAAAGAACCACTTTGATCAAATAAACTTAGTGGAAAATGATCTAAGTGTTCTTAAATATATAAACAAAACTATCAAAATTTAGCTGTTAAGGAGTAAAGTTATATACCAGTTATTTCTTTCTCAGGCATGATGGTTTATTCTCTTCATCCTGCATATTATGCTACAGTGGAGTCTCCTAGACTTTTCTGTTCTACTACTCCTTGGATGTTTGTCTCAACTCTATTCCAGCCTCACCCCCACAGCCTGGCCTCTCAGGACCGTCTGTGCCCCCTGCTGCTCCATTTCTAGGTCACACATCTCTCCTGCCCTCTGCCTGGAGCATCATCCCCAGCAGCCATGATTGCGACTCATGGCACCTCACGTGGTATCACCCGCAGTAGCCAGGGGCATTAGTCTACCCTAAATAACAACTAGTTTTCCTATACTGGCCAGAAGAATGAGCCTGAGCACAGGGCAGGAGGAATAAGAAGGGAGGGAGAGTGGTAAAGGGAGAAGAAGGGAGGGAAAAAAGAAGAGTTAAAGAATAGGCATGTTGGTTGCTGATTTGTCATCCATGTTGATTTTCTTTCTTTAAAAAAATGCTGCCCACTGGGACTCCCCTGGTGGCGCAGGCAGTTGAGCACAGCGCTGTGAAGCTGCCCGCAGCTTCTGTAGTGCGGTTTGATCCCCGGCCTCCAGGCGAGGGTCCCAAATGGTGCGGCAGACCTCTCCTGCTGCGCTCGCTGCTCCCCTCAGCAGTGTATTTCATCAGTCTGCCTGTTCTGCTCCCCGCTCTGGCTCTGGTGAATCCTCTCACCCTCCCGTGCTTCTGACTGTGCCCCAGTTCTTGTATAAATAAATAAATCTTTAAAAAAAAAATGCTGCCCAGAATAATTTCTTTACATTTGAAAAAGTATTCCTTGAGTGATGACAAATGATACGATATGTGCTAGCCTGATCTACGAGAAGCTGATTTATCACCTCCATTTCACAGCTTTGGTGAAGTTGATATGGAGAGGTAAGTAGATTTCAGGGAATACAGTGAACTTCTGAGGTGCATTTTAGAAGCCCTCCTCCAAACTATAACTAAAAGCAGGCAACCAGGACAAAATACCATGCCACCCAGGACCACCCATCAGCACCCTCTTCATAATGCCCCAAGTGGATGACCACATATTTTAGAGAGATGTTTCCCAAGCCAAATTCTCCAAGAGTTCATTAGTATTTCACAGGGAAGGGGGGAAAAAAGGAATTGAGAACACCAAATTGTAAACAGTTAACCCCCCAAAATGTTTATTTTTTAGGAGTTTGATGGGTAGGGGGTTAAGAATAATACAATCCTCAGTAAAGTTACCAGTAAGATTTTCATTTCCAAATACACCTACTTCTCTTATGCCCCCCAAGACTGCACCTCCACCCTGAGTCTTTTGCTAACAACCACACAATTAAAAGAAACCAGATACCTGATGATGATGCTTAATGGATTTCAAGACCCCTGTCCAAGTATGAAGTATGAGGTAAGATGGTGGGAGAAGGGTGAGACATGGGAGACTGTAAGAATAGTGACTGAAGGGAGAACCCAGACTGGAGAAGAAAAGGAAAGAATGACAAAGCCCTCACTGTGCAAGAGAAGCCGCCCTCCCCGACCACGCCCACCTTCCAGATCTTCAATTTCATCCATTTCTTCCCTGGCAGAAGAAACTTTGTCAAGAAATAGAATCTATCTTAGGACATTTCATAGCAAAAGTGAAGCCCAGATTGACACTTACATTTCATTTGCTTGGAGATGGACTTGTTAGGCTCAAGCCAGTGCTGGGGAGAAAAAAAGCAGAGATTGTGGGTCAGATGGTTATGCATACATCACACTAAACGGAATTTAATAAAGTTTTTTTTCCCCAAAGTACAACCATAGTTCCCAGAGATATCCTCAGGGTTCCATCCTCTGCAGATCAACATGAATGATTCAGTAACAATAATAGGCAGGGTATAAATTGCAGAGAATTAATACTTTCTGAGTAATATTTGAATCAGACAGTTGCTGGGAGAGAAGAACAAAGGCAAGAACATGCACTTAAATGGGGTGTTTTAGGAACTCTAGTTGGCTCCTAGGTGATTCTTTGAGCTCCACTGCTCAGCTAGCCACAGAGGGCTAAAGATCAGAACATGTGACATCTATGATCTCTAAGACTGATGGGCCAAGACAGCATCGGCACCCAGTCCCCTTCCAGGCTGCCTCTCATGTTCCCAGTGGGCCAGCCCAGCATTAGCCTGCTCACACAGGCAATTCATACTTAAGAACGGGGGAACAAATGATTTCAGATATCATGTATTTTCAGAGGCCAGAGGTTATCAAGAAGAAAAATCCAATCCATAAAATCCATAACAACAAAAAAATTCAAAGACCTTGATAATTCAGAATCATGTCACTGACAGTCATTGAAGCAGACATCATGCTGGCCCCAGAGGCCAGTTCTCTGCACCCCACTTGTGAAGGTCACTTCAACATGCTGAGAGCCCTGCAGATTTTAATATTGACTCTGATGTCCCTCAAGTCACTTCTGAAATGTTAAGAAGACTCTCTTTATGCACCTGAAGCTTATAAAGACATTAAGTGAATGTCACTAGGCATCTATTATGAGGTCAGGGAGCCCTCACCTAAGGGGTGCCCCATCTGTTTAATACTGGAAGGAAAAGGAGGAGAAATTGCCATCAATTGAAGTGAACATCTCGCTCTATCTCATCTGTGTCATTCAGTCAGCCTCAATGTTCAGTTTACTATGTTTACTGCAAAACCAGGGAGTTTACTAAAAGCTAGCAGTGGGCCTCCCTGATGGCACAAGGGGTTAAGTCTAAGCACTATGAAGCTATCAGCAGCCACTGCAGCATGAGTTCAATCCCCAGCCAGGGAGCAGAACCACATGGCGCAGCAGACCTCTCCTGTCTTGCCCACCGCTTCTCTCAGCAGTGTATTTCAGTCTATCTGCCTATTCTGCTCCCCACCCTGTTTCTGGTGAATCCTCTCACTCCTCTGCATCTCTGGCCTACACCCCAGCTATTTTATGCATAAATAAATCTTTTAAAAAATAAATAAAAGGTAGCAGTTTTGAATGCTTACTAAGTGCCAGGTACAATGTATTCCAAGAGTTTCCATGGCTTATCACTACCAGCACATTTAATAGATGAGGAATCTGGGGCTTGGACTGTTAAGCAAATTGCCTATGATAGCAAGTAAGGGTGAAGCCAGGATGTCGTGGCACTCTGGTTAAGGACCCTTAATATCAGCTTTGCACATTCCCAATGGGTCAGTTTGCTCTAAAATGAACACTCCCCATTTCTCTCAGGAACTGAAACATTGGTAAGTCAGATCAGTATTTTCCAATCCAGGTATTAAATCCTTACAGTTGTCCAAAAAAAAGCATAGGGGTCTTTGAACCATTTCGACATCACAAAGGCTCTAAAAGAAAACCACCCCACCGCCTGACAGGAAAGTGCAAAGTGAAAGTGCAAGTTTCTTTGCTTCTGGTCAAAATTGCATCAACTAATTCTGAGGACCTGGGTTATATCACCTTCCTTTTCTCCATTTCTTTTACTGTTGTAAAATATAACATGAAATTCACAATCCTAATCATTTTTATGTGCACAGTGGAGTGGTATTAAATACATTCATAATATTGTGTTATGGATCACCACCATCTATCTCCAGAATCTCTTCATCTTATAAAAATTAAATTTCATACCTATTAAACAATAATTCCTCCATTCACCACTTCCTCCAGGCCCCTAGAAACCACCATTCTGTTTTTACTTCTGTCTTCTCTATCAGAAACTATGCTTGGTCTTTATGCAGCTATAACGGAACAGAGGACGATGCGTTGATTACACCACTAATGGCCATGTAACCTTGTGCAGATGTTGACGCACTCTGTGTCTTGGTTTCCACACCTATAAAATGGAACAGTAAACTACCTACCTCACAGGGTTGATGTGAACATTTTAAAAGTTAATAAAAGTTTAATAGACATAAGATACTTAAACAGTGCCCTTCATGTGTAAAATACTCCACCAATGCTGTGTGCTGCTGCTGCTGCTGCTGTTACTTAATAAGTACAGTTTGGTTGGTAAACATAAGGGACCTCTGGTGATTAAATTACCTTAGGAAATAAATGGGACACTTTTGAATCAAGGTGAGAAAACAATAACAGCAATCAGAGAGCAATACCTACTGCTATTGTTTCACAGAGGAGGATCACCAGTCTGAAAGGTTTTCCAAATTCTCCCTGCTTGACATTCTTTGAACGCCTTCACCCTTCTCTGCCTAACTTCCACTTCCTCTGCACCTTCTCTCTGAATCCATGAGTCACAGGTAAGTTAAACTTTGTGTGCACACACTAGGTAGTTGATCTCCCAGGACCTTGAGGAGGGTTCCCAGACCAGGAGAAGGCTGGGCAAGAATGAGAGCCATGATGAATTAACTAGAAAACATTTAAGGCATGCCCACAGGGGATTTGCCATCTGTGCCCTATATAAATTATTTACTCTAAATTAACTGGCCTCCTCATTGTCCTACAAAATACCCCTTGCAGTTCCTACATTTCTCCTCCTCTCAACCTATTCGCACTGTGTACAGCAGTGCCCCAAATCTGTAAGATATATTCCAAGACCCCCGGTAGATGCCTGAAACTACAGATGGCACCAAACCCTATACACCATGTTTTTTCCTGTACATACGTAACTATGATTAAGTTTATTTATAAATAATTCATAGTAAGAGATTAATAACTAATAAAATATAACAATTATCACAATATACCATAATAAAAGTTATGCACATGTAGCAAGCTCCCTCCCCTCCTCTCTCTCTCTCACTGAATATCTTATTGTACAATATTATATATATTTTCAAACAATGGCTGACCTTGTGTAACTGAAGCCTCAGAAAGCAGTCTGGGGGGAAGGGAGGCCTGCTGTATCCTCAATTATTCACGTCTGCAGTATGGTTACTACATACATTGCCAGGACAATTATTTTTCCCCAATGGGATTATCAACAGATACAGAGCCCTCACAAAAATAAACCAGCAGTAATCATGCTTCAAGGGATTACAGGAAATCATTTCTCCAGAGGGTCAAGCTCAATTTAGTAGTATTTATTAAAATTTAAAAAACGTACTGGCCGAGGACACAGCAATTTCTTCAGTCTCTAATTTGCCCATGTGAACAAAAAGGAACATATCAAGGGCATATTTTCACCACAATATTACATAAAATTGCAAAATATTAGAAATGACATTAAAGGCCATCATCAGGAAATTGGGTCAATAAACTACGGTCAGTTCATATTCTGAAAGACTCTGCAGCAGTGTTTTATACGCAGTAGGTCTTTATGTGCAATATGGTTAGGTCTCCAAGGTACAGTATGAGATGAAAAAGAGTGAACTGTAAAATTTATAACTATGGCCATAATTAGTTCCCAAATCACGCACTGAAATGCCCCAGGGAAACAGAGCCGCACTAGACATCTGTCAGACATTGTGCAAACTATAAACTGAAGGAAGCTCCTAGTTCCAACAATAGATCATGCTATATTCCCTTTCATGGCATACTTTTTGCCAAGTTGCATTTCTAGTGGTTGCTGTGATAAAAAGCAAGTACCACACAAACACAGGCGTGCAACAGGCAACGAATGATCTGATGCCAGGGTTTGGGACAGGCATACACTTCCTGTTAGAAAGTAAGTGTGCTCAGGAATGAGCTGAAAAATACTATTTTTATGTGTAGAATGGCCTAAATGGCTAGTGAGACCATAATAATTATGTTAGGACATACATACATATTAAAATGTGGATCAGGGCACCATCAAGTAATTACTAAGGTATCCAGAAAGCCATCAACCAAGAAATTTTGGGAACCTCTGAACTATGGTATCATGTAATCAATGTACTTTCTTTTTTAATAAAAAGTACAAAACAGTACCACATATTTTCAAAGAACATATAACTAGCATGTAAATATTTCTTTTTATTTTTATTTATTTTTTAAATAAACTTTACTTTTATATTACCCATACAATTGCAACCCCCTTATTTTGACCCCAATCCCTCCCCTCCCCGCCCCCCACCCCCCACAGAGTGTCTCTGGTTCATAGTTTTTTTGGGGGGGTGTTTTTTTTTTTTTTTTTACATTTAGATTTATTTATTTATTTATTTATACAAGCACTGGGTACAGTCAGAAGCGCGGGAGGGTGAGAGAATCCACCAGAGCCAGAGCGGGGAGCAGAGCAGGCAGAAGGACCGAAGGACACTGCTGAGGGGAGCAGCGGGCGGCAGGAGAGGTCTGCGCACCATGCGGGACCCTCCTCCAGTGGCCAGGGAGCAGCTGGGATCGAACTGGCGCTGCAGAGGCTGCGGGCAGCTTCGCAACCCAGCGCTCAACTGCTGCGCCACCGGGGAGACCCTGGTTCATAGTTTTTTGATTTTGATTTTCACTTTCTTCTATTCATTTTCCTGGTCCCTTATTTAACTTTTCTAGATTCCTGCTATGAGTGAGACCATCCGGTGTTTTTCTTTTTCTTTCTGGCTTATTTCGCTGAGCATGATCCCTTCCAGCTCCATCCATGTTGCTGCAAATTGCATGTGTTTATCTTTTTTGAATGCTGAGTAATATTCCATGGTGTATATGTACCACATCTTCTTGATCCAGTCATCTATTTTGGGCATTTGGGTTGTTTCCAAAGCTTAGCTATTGTAAACAGTGCTGCTATAAACATAGGGGTGCAGGTGCTCTTTGGAATTGATGTTTCTGTGTCCTTTGGGT